CCCCCGGTGTTTGCCATCGGGATTGGGTTTCGTCGCTTGGCAACGACGTTGTAAAACAAGCCGATTGACTTCGTGAACTCGGCAACCAGGTTACCGCTTTTTTTTTGCCTGTTTTTTTTTTTTGCGGTCACCGTGACTGGTGGTCGAGTAGATCATGTTGTGCGGGTTCGAGAACCCTCACTCCGCGTAAGGGGGATGATCGCACCACGTCGTGTTAAAATGGTCAAGCACCCTCAAGGCAGTTACACCGTGCTAACAACTGTCTCTGGAAGTGAAAGCACCAGAAAATAAATGAATTCATACGCAGCTGTCATCCGTACGCAAGGAAGTATGCACAAGATGCCGAACACCTCGCGGCGCTTTGCGCTTGGTGATGTAAGAGCCTGGTCCGGTGAGAACCCGGCGTGCTCCGTCCCGGCTTTGTAGGGATGCGACGTCAATGGTCTAACCACTACGGCATGCACGACTATGAGTACACCCCCACCCCCCCTCCCCCACGACAAAGATTGATACGTAACCTACAGAGGTGTTCCAATGTTTCCACATGGAGGGACCCTTGCTAAACATGTGGATTGTTGTATGATATGCATATGCACACTTCGGACCAATGTAGGGGACACATCCCCTGGGACGATAGAAGTACATTATGACACCCTATCCGTCTAGCAATAGGTGTCGATTGAACGTGGAGCGCCCTATCGTCACGTACCGTAGGTATCGATCGCACCACGGCATCCTCTCGATCAAGCAAAAGGTTTCGATCGACAAAACTGTGAGCCTATTTATCGATGCAATAACTATGGTTTGTAGAATTACAATATGCGATCACGCTGACATTCCCAAACTCGCGTAACGCAATAGGTGTCAATTTCACAACGATACCTATCGATAAGCGACACGCCTTGCCTATCGACATTCCAAAGACCATTAAATAGGCTATGGTCCGTGGTGTGAGAACATGCCTGTCAAAGCCCCGGTGCCTTCCTCTGCCAGCTCAGTATTGACTTTCAGAGGGCGCCTACCAGGTACACGCATCTGTGGTAACATCCACGCCTGACATGGCTCGCACCCCCATGACGCAGGGCTACAGCTGTAGATTGGTCCCATTGGGAATTCTTCTCTCAGCTGTCCACATGTACATGCCGTAGGTTGCATAAGATATCCACACCCAACCCTAGACCGAAATTCAAACCTCTAATGTTCCATGACGAAGAGGAAGCCGAGATCAAATGATGCGTTTTCGGAAAGCTCTCGACGAGATAGTTCCAATGCCGCCATTTCCGGAACCGCCACTGCTTTTTTTCCTACAAGCAGTAAAGCAATGAAAATTGGTCCAGAGGGTGTGATATTTCAGCAACCTACGATATATTGTAGCTGCACGTCGAAATGCTGCAAATCGCAGCCTACTGTTGTACAACAGGCAGAATCGTACCTCTTCGGAGTGCACATGACGAGCACATTCGCAGGTTTTGTTCTTGACGGCCGCCTCGGGATTCATTTCCTTCGTGTTCGACTGAAAAATGCACCCATACCCGCACTCTTTAAGCTTGAAAGAAACAAGGGAGGATCGGATGGTGCAAAGGTGTTCGATGGCGACACTTGTTTTCTGCTGCGGTCAGAAGAAGCAGTAGCAAACCGCCGTTATGTCATCTTGGTGTTAATGAGAAACCCGATCAGCAGTTTTTCAACCGAAAGATATTCCACTTCGTATGCATGCTGTACGTTGATCCTAAGAAGTCCACGCTCTCAAGGTCGTTGGAGGTTGATAATGTACTCGTTTCACGTTTCCACGGATTGGAGATTACGTCTCCCCAAGTAATCGAGTTAAAACAGTGTTACACCCAGCCGGCCTGACCTAGTGTACTTTACCTTTCGTGTGGCAATCACTTGAGGAAGCTGGTATCTCGGAATTCAGTGTGCGAGGGGCATCAATATGAGGAACACCTGCTGCTGCCTCACGCGTACAGCATTTTTTTCAGCACTCCTGTTCTCTTTCCGGTGACGATAAAACCCTTTTCCAACTATAGAAAGCGTGGTAGGCTTTATCCAGATTAATTGAGCTAAGCATTGCCCTCCGTGGTCGAAGCGCACAAAATACTGTTGGAAGGTTTTGCTGTGTCTCGTCTCGCAATACACGAACGTACCCTCCAGCCCCACACAAAACCCTGCCAGTTAGCCTCGTGCCTGCCTCAACTCATTCTAGAATGCTTGCCTTCAAGTGGCTCTTGATTTTTGTTATTAACCATTGGCAGTGATCGTTCGCTACTTTGCACGATTTCGTTGGTGCCACGTCTCGGTCCTCCGTTTTCATCAGGCGTGGAGCTTGGTCTTCGACATATGCGAGTAGGGCAGCAATGCCTGGTTCGATGTGAGGCGAGATTCGCTTACGGAGGATTGGGTTGCCCAGCGACAAAGGCAGGGGATACAGATCTTCCTCCGGACACAGATATCGAGGTCCGGCTCGAACTTGTGTCAATTCTCCCCTCCACGCCTGTGCCAGATATGTCTCCTGAAGAGATCTGCGCGGAAGGGGAGCGCAAGAAGTTGGTAGGGAATGGGCACTTCGAGCGCACAGCGTACAAGAAAGCCCTTCGTGCGTACACAGCAGCGGCCAACGCTGTTGCAGAATTGGAGTTCCCCAACGGAGATTCGGATACTTTTCGTGAGGCTCGCCGACTCAGAATCGACTGCGGCAATAACATTGCAATGACGTGCTATCGATTGGGCGAGCTGGAAAAGGCGAAAGAGGCTGCTGTGGGTGTGCTGGAAGAAGATCCAACTAATGTTAAGGCCCTTTTTCGCGCTGGTCAGGTATCTTCTCTCCAGTCCAATTTCATTGAAGCAAGAATAGCCCTTGAGAAAGCTCGCGAGCTAAACCCGCGTTCTAAGGCGATTCAGGCGGAGCTATGCCGCTTGGCGGCCCGCATCAAGTCGTATAAAGCAAAACGACAGGCTATGCACGAAACGATGGGCCGTAGTTTGTTTGAGGGGTCCAAAGCCCCACTGGGGCTTAAGAGGGTGTGTGACATCGAGGGCAAGGAGGCCCCTCCCACTCTGGCGAAATCGATTCGGGCGGAAGCCGTTAGTAGTGATGCGGCAGGCCAGGTAGCGGCAAAAGGGGCTGGTGTCGCTATCGAAACCGATGCAGGAGAGAAGACGCGATCAGCGGTGCCCGTCGATGTACAACGGTGTCGAGGACTTTGGGTATACATTTTAATTGCCCTGGCTTCATGGGGTGGCATGCATGTTGCAGCACTCGTGGGTCTCACCTCGATGTATGCTTGAGGCTAGCCTGGGGTTGCCAGTTGGTGGCCAGAATTGTCACGAAGGACTCGTCGTGCTGATTGTCATTGTTGAAAGCAAGCCGACGAATATCGTCAGCGTTGCTAGTCCCAAGTTGGCTTATTTTTTTGCTAATTCTTTCGGGCTTGAGGACGGAAGCGGGGACGAATTCCAAGCTCTACCGATCTTGGGAGTAGGCTCGTAAACGTGATAAAAGTTGCAACCACAAAAGACCTTCATTTGTCTCTTCTCTCGGGTCCTTCGTTCAAGAACAACCAGGCGATCAGGCTCAGGCCGCAGTCATGTATCGACATTACGTGTTTTACTGTGACAAGGATTCCTTTGAAAATATATATTTGGTCAAGACATGACCGCTTGCGTGAATGCAATCAACGCCAAAAATCCTGGTACGCCATATCGTCACGACACCTGTTCTCTCGATGTTGCTGCGCTTTGCTGGACCAGACAAGATGTTTTCCGAAGCCACTCAGCGGTCCGAGTCCAAAAAAGGCTATGACTTTGCGAGCGTTGTTTGCCGTTCCGTATGGCACTCTCTCTCTCGCGGGGCGGGGCACAAGGTAAAATTGAGCAGGCTTCAAAAGAGGCCGGACCTACCACTGGGCTATTACCGAAAGATACCCCCAAGTGGCTACATAGCCACAAACCACCAGTTTGGAATCGCACCATCACCACACCTCAACTGGATGCGCCAGCTGTACCTGGACACATCGGGGATCAAGGAACCAAAAGGCATTCATGGTGCACAAGCTAGGGAACGAGCGTTCCATATCAACTACACTTTCGACCGTTTGTTTGCCAAGACTGCACTTCGCCAGAGAGTCTACACGCCGACCAAGCCTATGCGGCAATGGCCAAAGCATATATTTCAACATCGAACTTTGACCCAAAGCAAGAAATTCACCATCGGATTATCCTAGGTACTAGAACTATTTACAGCTTTTGTCATCTTACCCAGCCGAATCTTTCTTTAGTCTATCGAGAAGCTTCCAACCTTTGCGTCCTTTAGCTCCGTTCACGGCGTTATCTAGTCGCTGCCAGACCAGAGATCCGCCAGACACAAGCGTTGGAAGACCCACGAATAGAACCTTCTCTATGAGCAAGGCGAAGACGTCCAAGAACTTCAAACCAACTCTAGCAGGGTCCGACACATCGTCTTCCATTTCAGCCTCGACATCCACAAACGAGCTTGATTTATCCACCACAAGCTCAATGCTGGATTCCTCGGAAGCTATGGTCGTGCGTTCTGCCGACAAGAACCCTTTTCGGGACAATCCCCCGTCTCCAGAACGCCGTGAGCTATTTTCATCCAGTGATGTTGCAGCGGAGCCCCCTCTGACCGAAGCTTCGTCTACTACTACGGCATCGACGACCTCGGCGCTCTTGACAGATTGATCGAGGTCAACTACCATCTCAGCTTCTGGGGTCTGCACTGTCGTCGATTCGCCAGCAACCGGGGTGATGTCCGGTGTGGTAGTCATCGGGGGCGTGAGCTTGACACCATGGTCCGCTTGCGATCGGCCAGGAAAACTCGGTGCTGGCGCTGCTGTCACGCCGCGCTCCACCGGTGACACACTTGCCTGCTGATCGCCGCCTTCCGTATCGCGGGCTGCCTCATCTTTCACTGCTCTCAATCGCTCTCTATCGCCCTCCCTTGCCCGTACCTCTGCTCCAGTCGCTCTTGCAAACTCTTCCCGCCCAACCTTTCTAGGCACCCCCATGGTAGACGTGGTAGAATCCTGAATATCCTGTATTCTCGTCAACTCCAGACGAACGCTGTCTAATGTGCTCGCTCGTTTCCCGGAGCCCTCTACAGCAGCAGCTTTCCACAACCGACAGGCGGCCACTAGAGCATACTCATGCGCACGCCCCGCCTCATCTCGGGCTCGCTCGGCTGATTCTCGCCAGATGACGTCCAGTCGTCCCCCCACTGCCTTGGCCTCTTCATGGCCAGCAACCACTTCGCCGTCGAAATACTGCAGCAAACCTATCGTTCTTGAAGACAGCTCCACCTGTGCTGCCCTCGAGCTGTCCTGGATACCGCCCAAGCCTCTGGTCTGTAGCATCCTTGACTTTATGGTCTCCAGCCGCTCAATCCTGTCACAAAAGAAATGATGGTAAGGAAGCGTGCATGCTCAGTTACCGAGAGTTTGACATGGCATGAGCCATGTTCGGGTTGTACTCCCTCAGGTGGTAGGTAGCACATGACGTTGTCCTCGCAATACTACGGGCTACTTCGAAAAAAAAACTTGCAGGTCTACCTTGATAGCATCAAATCTAGGAAACAGCGTCCAACACGAGTCTCGGAATAGGTCCATGAACATATCGTGAGAAACGTCTACAAGTTTGTTACGCTACTACGCGACTTCAAGTTTAGCCTTGAAGAGTATTCGCCGTGCCTGGCGGTTTCCCCTCCGATGTAAGCCTCCAAGTAGACCGCCAGCTCGACGACATTCGCTGACAAATCCTCCAGTCGCCTGAGGTACGTCTCTGCCGCTTCAACCGCTTCACTCATCTCAGCGAGGACATACGTTTGCTGGACATTGCGCGTCACGTTCTTGAGTTCCTCGAGAAGGACCGCTTCCCTTTCCAGAGCCTCCTCAAGTCCGGCGATAACCGGTTCAGTAGAGCACAGTACCGCGTTTGCTGCCCGCAAGCCTCGCTCTTGCATTTGCACCTCGTCACCGATGGAGTCTATGCACTTCGACAGCTGCTTGGTAAATACATCGGGCTGCGAGGCCAGCATCTCAGCCAGGGCACGCTCTGTAGATGAAAGTTCGCCCCCACGGGCGTCGACTCCTTTCCGTCCAAACCGATCAAACACGCCGACAAGGTCCGGCAAAGGCGGCATCACCTCCCGTCGCGCAGAAACCTCTTGGATCGGCGGTTCAACAACGGCGGGCGTTGTTTCTAGGCGCCTTGACCCAAGGATCCTCGAAGGCGATGGATTTGCAGCCAAAGACGCGTCAGATGCTTCCAAAATTTTTCCCGCCGAACCGCTAGGTGTACGTCCGAGTAGGAGACCATTGCGCTTAGCTTCTGGAAGTGAAAGGCCGATCGGCCTGAGGAGCTTGTTTGCACGGCTCCCGGCACGCTCGTACTTCACCTGCACCGCCGCAAAGAGGCGAACATAGTGTTGTTCGTGCAATAACGAATGAGTCGGGGGCTTGAGCCCGCTTTCAAGTTTGGCCTTCGTTCTCGCTGAGAAGCGCCTAGATAAAGACCGAAGCGGTCTCACCTCTTGTTCCACCTCGTACGCCAGATCTGAGGCTTTGTTGATGGTAGATGGAAGCGATCCCAGGAGCCTCGCCGGTAGCGGCTTCGACCTGCGACGGCGCTGCAAGAAAATGGTGGCCCACGTAAAGACGGTTTCGACAACACAAATAGCCCACACACAAGAAGTGCTAGATACTGGCACAGGAGCGAGGGTAGGGTGGCATTGATTTCATGGAGTTTGACTCGTCGGCAATTCGTGTTTTTTCAGTGTCCAACAATTGCTTACTCTGAATTTATCCTGCGGACATTGGGGCAGGAAAAACAACGGCCAGCTCACCTGCAACTGTAGGCGGAATGAACCTGAATATCCTGGGCGCCGGTGTCTTATCAAACAGTAGATCCGCTATTCACAATCCACGTAAAAAGCTCTGGCAACAGCATGCGCGACAAATCTGACAGCCAAACTGACCACACTGAGAATGACCGCCACCTCTCCTACGTCATTGGGGCATAAATGCATGACCTTCACTCTAACCAAGGCGTGACCAACCTGTCGTTGATANCTCCCCTTATCTATCTACCAGGATGGATGTAGTTGAGGATCGAGTATTCATTGCAAACTGCCCGTTGCCTGGTGAACTCCGGCTTATCGCATTCCCTCCTACCGTTCAACACCATCAGTTCGTTGCTTCCCAAGAATTCAAGCATCCTCACTCCGTTGTCATTCACTTTGTCTTCTCCGTGCTGCCCGATTGCCTGTCTGTCCTCTCGCGGCATCAAGCCGTTTGTCGTCGTCATCGAAGTCCTTGAGAGATGCCAAGAGCTTGGGCGAAATACTGATCGAGTCAGGCACTATCCCCATCGATAGCAACTGAACTAAGTTGTTCAAGGCCGCCTGGGTCTCCGTCGTATNAAACAGTAGATCCGCTATTCACAATCCACGTAAAAAGCTCTGGCAACAGCATGCGCGACAAATCTGACAGCCAAACTGACCACACTGAGAATGACCGCCACCTCTCCTACGTCATTGGGGCATAAATGCATGACCTTCACTCTAACCAAGGCGTGACCAACCTGTCGTTGATACGCGGCATCAAGCCGTTTGTCGTCGTCATCGAAGTCCTTGAGAGATGCCAAGAGCTTGGGCGAAAGACTGATCGAGTCAGGCACTATCCCCATCGATAGCAACTGAACCGAGTTGTTCAAGGCCGCCTGGGTCTCCGTCGTATTATTCACTCCCATCAGCAGCAAAGCCGGACTGTTTGAGGAATATTGCGTCGACAGCAAAGTAACGACGCGGCATCTGGTGAACAACCATAGCAAAGATAGTCAAGTTGGTAGACACGGAGAAGCGGTACGCTACTAAAAACATCCAACCCTGCACCCATCTACTTATTGACGGACAGCGAAGAGCAACAGCAGGGCTTGGTCTTGTTGACAAGTATCACCTCCCTGCTCCGCTTGCAGCCAGAAGCAATTTGCCCGTTCCTGCCGCTGCCTGCTTGGACGCGTAGTCCACGACTGCCTTGACAGCTTTGCTGTCTATCCGCGGGCGGTTTGCAACGTAGATACCTGTAGCGCACACGTGCCACAAGACCGAAGCCCGACGGAACGGATTGCATGCGTGCTGTTTGTATTCGGATTCACTGTGCTTCGCGCGATCTCTGCGCAAGGGAAGGATGGCATATCACAGTTCACGTTTCCAGGTGCGCATACAGCAGTACGAGCTAAATTTTGTCTACACATACATGCTGGGCAAGTGGATAGCATCCTCCGTTCTGCACGAAATAGTAAAACAATACTAACATCGAAAAGCTTGTGCCTCGCGACAATGACCAAGGCAGCCCGAGGCAGGCAAGTAGATACATTATCCTGCGGGTCCGTCATCGATGAATCACGTTCTCATAGAATCCTTCAGTTGGTTTGGGTAGATGGGCGACATCCAGAGGAGGGAGGCACCTGGGGGTGGGCAACACTCGACTTCCCACATCGTCAACACTGCCCATGCTAAAATACTAAAATATCATGCGTATATTACACGTGAGGCAGTGCATGTCCTAAGTCGCCCTCTGAAAAGTACAGCGAGAGGTGGACTACCTCTGTTCTTCGAGTACCATACGCTGCATCCTTCAAATGGAGCATATCAAAAGAACAAAACTGACTCTTACCTGTGAATAGATACGAGTAATGGGGGGCGTTGATTGAATTTTATCGTTGTATATACTGTACAACTATTGGTTTAGGACGGGCTTATGGTGGTCGGCCACCCATATGAATTCGCGTGAGCCTCGAACCCTCAGTTTTGTGCATGAAAACATTCATGAGCGAAGCACCCTGCCGAAAATCACACACGATGAGAATTGATTCTTTTCATTCAAGCGCTCATGTACTGAATAAACGAATCGTGCTATACAAACAGTAACCCGCCTTCATGAAATAAAGGAGCGGATCCGTCCTGTCATTACCCCCCAGGCACACGAGCGTTTTTCACCACATTCCCAGGCCGTCCATGGACTTTGATGCAAAAGCACGCCGAAACAAAAACCAGAAAAATCCTGCAGTGCCATTGCGACGTAACTAGGTCGTATGCGGGGGACGTTTATCTGCATCAACACAAAATGCGTAGATTGTGTGACCTTGAGTGAAGATTCCCTGTAACTGCTGCGTCCGCATATCACTGAATTGATGTGATTTTTCCTTCTCGAGAACTGGCACCCTCATAGACAACAACAGCTGAAAAATGCAAACATCCGTGCACACAAGCGCGAAATCACACACACACACACTTCGAACGGCAAGGAGTATGAAGTGAGGGAAAGTCCTTCCTTGTGTAGCGCTCACACGGTACGAGACGTGAGTCTATGTAAGGGTGACGGCCAAGGGTATGAGAGACAAATACACAACAGCAGTAGACTATGCGACGAGCAAAGAGATACATCTAAGCCAGCAGTGCTAGTTGGGACAAGGCTCTTCTGCCTTATTCTTGGGTCGAGGATACAGCAAGCCCAAAGTATCTGCACCAGAAGCGAAGGTTCAAGGGAACGTGCGTCACACACGTGCCAGAGAGATGCTAACAAATGGCTCAGCTCATCCACTCCATCATCGCACAAACAACGTTAAAACCATGCATTGCTGTCTTACACGAAAAGAGTACTAAGCCCTTCTCGGAACTGGCATTGGAACTTACAGTCGTGTTATACTCTCTACCGTGTACGACGGGCCCTCTCTCACGCCTCCTTTTGTTATCCACGCAGGGCGAATCACAGCAACATAGTCCAGCACCAGCCAGCACCAACGTCAGCTTCGTTCTGTGTTGTCTCTCCGCAGGGCCACGTTCGGTCATGTGTTGGGAGGTGCGTACCCGCTGTTGGTCTATTTTCGCTTCGGGCTTCGGTAGTAGACAGGTGCTGGGAAGCACGTCCGCCCCAACACCAGAGAGATCGAGTGTAGTAGTAACAGCACTGGGTGTAATGCTGGGCACATTGCTGGCTATGGATACGTGCGTGTGAAGCGGTCTTTCTGTTGTCTCTCTCATGGCCTCTCCATATGTTTGCTCAGGCGAGACACGCCCCCGACCTATTCGCACGCGTAACAACAAGGGACTGCACATGTTATTAACCCCTGCTGTGGTCACGCAAGGGTTAATCGCTGTTGTCGTCACGCAAGGGTGAGGCTGTGTGTCCTGGTGCACATATTCTGGCACAGGGAGGGGGGGATACTTCGTTGATCTGCATCGGCTCCTGCCGGCTTCATGAACAACAAAGCGTGTTTCAGGACGACACAGCAGTAGCAGTGGTGTGGGGGAGAGCCGAGCCTTACAGGGTTACAGCAATGGAATTTTTTTTTAGCCTCTTTCCGAAATAATATATTCCTTCCCTCTCTGACCATTAGCTCAAGCTTACAACAGAAACAATGACATGCGTTAACACACGAGCACGTTACGCCCAGACCGGCGAGTTCTCAGCCGCACGCAACACAGCACAGGGTGGCGTGAGGAAAGCGAGGCGGGTCTTGTTTTACGACAGTGCCACACACTACGGGGAGCACAGCTCAACTTTCCCACCTACCCCTGGTGGCCAAAACTTCGAGGACTACAAACCCAGCAACGAGCAACTTACACACCTTTCCATCAATGAGGAGGTTAGCGTGGTTGGTGCGAACAACACCTACAGTAGAGAGACCATCAAATAAGAAAGACTACACCAGGACGTGATGCGGGCATGATTGTCTTGAGAGTTTTAGTGTTTCACGTATGCGATTGCTCGAGCGTCGACTTGTTACCAATCATAGCTTCGCTCCGGGGGGGGGGGCGTACTCTTATGTTTTGCATGCCCTAGCGGTTAGACCATTGACCACGCGTCCTCGAGAGGACGGAGCATTGTTCCCACAGGACCGATCACCGATGGCCAATCGTTCCTTTCTACTTTGCCAAAGGTGGCTCAAAAATGTCTTCCCNGCATTCGAAGCCGCAATCACATCTGAACTCGTCGTCTTCGTCGTCTACCGTCCTACGTCTTCGTCGATGTTCTCGAAGGCCTATGTCCCCGGTCCTGAACTTGACCTTAAGCTTTGTTCCTGCATCCATTGG